ATTGGGCTGAAACCTTGATATTATCTCTTAAGTCGTCCTAAGCCCTGCATTTGTCCTCTAATTTAAGTTTCCCAAAGATCCAGAACTGTCCGGGACTTAACCTGACAATGCTTTTAATTCCCACGTTTAATTTCTGGAGATCGAATATCTCTATTTCAAACTTCTGCTTTCTTTTTTACTTCTTCATAGTCTTCTCCTATCTGTTGCAACCACTAGGTGCTGATCAGGTGGCCTTCCATGAAAGAGTATGCATCAAGTATACTTAAAAACAAAGTAAAGCTATCACTATACCAGGCCGTGAAGGCCCATAGGGTTGTGAGACGTTGAGGGTGTCGCTCTTTTCCAACCCGCCTTTGTTTGTATCAGCTCAGTCGGAATGGTGCTATCCCTGCTACACCTGTTTCTACCTTAGGAAATTTATGATGGCTACTGCAAGTTGTCCTCACAGATCAAACTAAGGAACATCGGTACAGGTACGGGAAACTAGCTGGGTCGGTTTGCATGAGTCTCAGGGTAGCGATGCCGAAGAAAGCGGTATTCTGGGAGTTAATCCAAATGACGTTTATTCACCTTTGTTCTCCAAACCACACTGTTAAATTAATGCATTCTTAGCTTTAAGTTACAGCGTTACACGATCGGCAAGCTATGTCTCGGAGTGTGCAAGGGTCACGTCCGTTCAGTTCGGAATATGGTGAAAGTCTTCATTTTTGGAATGGCTTGCACACCCCACGCCGAGAATTCGAAAGATGGTGTTGACATATACATTTCAACCCATCTTCCGTAGGAAGCTTGAACGAGGCAACTCAATCATACTGGCCCTCATTCACAGGCAACTGTAACAAGTTCTGACCTGTCCTTCTCATTGACCTTCCTCTTAGGCGCGTCCGGTTCCCTGTACCCGAGCTAAATTTATGACTGCTCGTAAATGTCAGAACTCCGGACTCCTTGGTCCTGCCAGAATCTAGAAATTCCAACATAAACACCGTATTGCAAGTCTCAGACAATAAAATACGATATTAAAGATTACAATAAAGTTCCAGTAATATCGAAACATAAGACTTTTGAAATTAAAATTACCGAGAATTAATTAGAAATAAATTTCATGGTCATCTATAATCATCCAAATAAATAAGGGCTCAGAATGATCAGCGTCAATATAGACCAGCGTTTCCCAACCCTTTTGATGCCGCGGACCACCTGTACCGAATGTTAATTGACCACGGCCCCCATAAAACTCCAAATGGAATTTTTTTATATTTTACATATCATGAAAGTGAAGCAGTAACTTACAATTTTAGAACATTAAATGTGTCATTTATGACAACAAAATACTGTTATAAATGGAGCTTATTCAGAAGATCACGAACATATCAATTAGGCCTAATGTTATGAATTTAACACTCACCTAATCTACGATCCATATCTAAATAAGATCGTGAACAAACTGAAAATCAGAAGTTTCGTTGTGAAGTCAATTTTTTGAACAAGAGCAGAAAGACTGAATATTAAACCAAGAAAAACACACTTGTATAATATTATAAAAATCCACTGCACAAAAACTAAAGACACACAGGTTGTTCACTCTGCCACTGAAATGAATAAGAAACGTGGTCAATATTCCCAGCTTTATTCCCAACCAAAGAGGGATGGATTTGGTGGGGAGGAGGAGGAGAATGGTCAGACAGCAGGTAAGCAGGACAACAGTCCACCCTGAAACACAGGTCTGAGATGCAATGGGCCGACCAAAAGAAAATGTCCTTGGAAAAAGCTACACAAATCGTTGGTTATTCACCTCTGCATTACAAAGGGGAGAAGTAACGGTACCAACAGTCCCGTTAAATTTTACTTCAACCATGGGCGTCAAGAGCCAGAAATATACATTGCAAATATCCCAGGTGTGAGGAACATGATAAGATAAAGTTAAATGAAAATAAACTATCCTGCGGACCCCTTTTGAATTACTCGCAGACCCCCGGGGGTCCGCGGTCCACAGGTTGGGAACCACAGATCTAGACGATCGGCACAAAGATGGCGGTAAGATTGTCAGCCTTACGCGCCGGCCGCACTTTTCTCCCCAGGAAAATTATTTAATTCCTGGTACTCATTTCTCTTAGAGGCTGAGTCAACCCCAGGGCCATAGTGCGGCTAGAAGGATTAGGTCAATTGAAAAAAATCCAATGACCTCATCGGGACTTGAACCCGCGACCTTCTGGCTTGTACATAGCATAGCCCTTCAACCAACTGTGCTATCGCCAAATCTCATGTCAAATTTCAGTTGCTTGGATTATTTCAAAGAGTCTGCCGAAGTACAAGGCCATTTCTTAATATGCCAGTTTTTTTAAGATGAAGTATTATTGGACCCCCGCCCAACCCCCAAGCTACCCTCGAACAACCAGAAACTTGAACCCAAATTAGACACATTCTGACAACGTCCTCAAGCACTATAACCTAGCCTTATCTGATAGATTGACCCATTCTAATGTAAACTTTGGGTCTCCTGGTTTAGCCGCGTCGTATATTGAAGACGTCTCAACGTTTCGGCATACATTGCAGTCCCTTCATCAGTGTGAGTTCGCGAAACCTAAAGACAGAAATAAGCTGATCTAAATTAACCTCACTGAACTGTTGCCTGGCCCAAATTTAACAGAATTAACAAAAAAAAAGTATCTAGAAGCATCTGAAATGATCATACGCAGGAGTATCGAGGAAAGACAAGATCAAATGAGAGATGCATTTACCGATGACGACCCATCAGAGAGGAAGAAGAATACGGACACATGATGAGAACATCAGATCCACATCGGACACAGAACTGACGCCAATGTTACAGATGACATAGGTGGCAGCAAGGATGATCATGACTGACTGCATAATACATCCGATTGTGTCTGTGAAATTAACGAACTAGGAACTAAATACAGATTAAACGCATCTAATAAGGGCCCCTCTTACTTTAACTTGACCAGAATTGAATGTCAATGTTCTAATGCAGCAAAACGCAAAGCAAATTACATAAGTACAAAGATTCACAATATGCCCATGAGCGCCATTGATAAATGGCTTTGTCAGGTCAAAGATGCCTTTACCTACGTCAACGATTCACACCCTGAGAATAAATTTGCAATAATATTTAAAAATTAATGAAGATGTCGGTTCTATAGTATATCGAGATCAAAATCGATGCTAACAATGGCATATACATGAAATAAAACCTAAGGATTTAGTCCTTCTAATCCCGTACTTCGCCTCGCTATGAATGTGTGGTTTGTAATCACAATTTTTAGGACCTTGTTGTGTAACCTGAAACCACATGGGCGACTCGGGGAACTAAAAGACCTGAAGGAAATGACAAAACCTGTGTATCTCAGGGAACCGCCGAGCATGACGTCATAATGATCATGGCCGGCCAGCCCAAGGCTCTCGTTCAAGTGTAATGAGGAAAAGTATTTTTCATGGAAGGGCACATTTTTCCGAATAAGTTGTTCTATTTTGCGTAACTCGATATACAATTTATTCGTTAGTCACAAATATATTTAAGGGCATAAACGAACATTTTGTTTAATTGATTAAATGCGCTAACTGCATTTAACTATACGTGATTCGGGACCATACTTGAGTAGCTGAAAATTATTTAGCTAATTCAAAGGCTCTCTGTTAGAGAATCCAGTATTCATCCACGTCATCACAGAAGTCCGCCTAACCTAAATCAGTTCAGCTCAGTTCCCATCTTCATTTAGGGCTGGCACCCTGCATTCAGAGAGACAAAGTTACCGTATTTACGCATGTATAGGCCGCGTGCGTGTATAGGCCGCAGCACAATTTTCAGACAGAAATTATAGAAAAAATAATTTTCTTGGAATATTATTTCAGGAGTAGAAATTATTCCGAGTCGCGGAGAAACGTTCCATCCGCTCTACGCTGCTGCCCCGGTTTCCTGGANAATGTTGGTGGAATGAAGACTGGCAGAGAAGACTGAAGTATTTGGAGAAAACATGCCTCGGTGCCACCTTGTCCACCACAAATCCCACATGACATACTTCGGAATCAAATTGGGTCGCTTAGGTGAGTAGCCATGGACCGATCACCTGAGCCATAACACGGCCCGAGACAAATTTTCGCGTCTATATAAAACCAGTAGTAGAATTATGTACGGTTTTTATACAGGTTTTTTCTCTCTATAAGAACATTTTTTCCGGTATTCGTATGCTCGGTTTTATCCTCAGGGCCGAAATGATCAGTGCACCCACAACGTACGACTTTCGTCTTTTGACACATCAACTGTTTGGCTGTATGCGTGTCAGGTCGTACGTGCTGAAAAAGGCCTGATTTCGTGTAGGTTCCTGAGGCCTTCATCCCTTCCGTTACCACGTTTTCGCAGCTGGTTCAGGTACAATCTACAATTTCAGCGCGGTAGGTGGACTGTAGAACATGAAGACGGAAGGGTATGGAAAGAAGACGTAGTGCTCTTTTAAAAAATATCCCAGCAGGCCGAGTAAATATCATGTCACAACACGTTTGTGGAGATTTAGAAAACTACAAAAGGGAATAACGTATTGCTGGATACCCGAACTCCGGACCGAGATTCTAACAGGCGTCCTCCCGAATACAAAACAGAAATACGTGCCAAATTAATGTCAAATTTTGTACTCTTGCCTGACACTATTGTACTGTATACTTAAGCTTACCATGGAGTAACACACCGAATTTTGCAAAGCGAGGATTTGAATTACAGTTGTGTAATTCCCTGCATAAGTAGTTGCCAGTCTACAGACTAAGACCGATGGTAGTCCGGTACATTTCACAAAAAAGGAAAAAGAAAACGCACAAAGCTGGGTCACGCGTTGCTACACAGATAGGAAGAATCAACTGGAAGTCACTGGCTGGTAAAATTGTCATGAGTGGTTGAGCACGCCGCACCATTAACCGACGTCAGAGGTAACCATCCGTGGAGCAAGCTATTGCTGGGGAGGCCTTGCTTTATTGTTGTACCCAAGGAGCGAGAATATCCACATGTTGCGGCAGAATGAGACAGCGTGTCCAGGTGAGCAGTGTGGTCAGTGGTCACTGGCACAGTGCGACGCAAAATATCATGATAACCATGCTCGTCAAGGTTTGAAGCAAGGACGTCAAGAGAGAAACCACCGTGTCTTTGTGATCTCACCTACAATGCCGCCGGTGGTAAGTTCCTCGTGTGAAGTGCGCCGACATTCTACAATTTTAGAGTTTTCCTGGCTTTGAATAGAATGTGAGAGCAACAAGGATTTCGAAGTGGAAGCGGTCGTGAAGTTATTTAAAAGAATCGAACTGGTATCAGTGTGAACGGATGGTACGGAGTAACTAAGCCGTTATATGGTGACTGGCTAGGGCATGGACATCCGGGGTTCGAATCCCGCAGAGTATGGAGCTTTCCTCATGCCCGACTAATGCCGAGGTTAAGATTGCCCAATTTTGCTTCCTTTCCCCCGCAATCCTTCATGGCACGATGCTTAATTGAGCTCAAGGACAACTTTAAATTTTTAGCCTGATAGAACTAACCAAAAACCCGGAAACCTCAGAAATAGAGTTAACGTTCCAGTCTTGATTCGAACCTGGTATACCCACAAGTAAGAGAGAAGAAGAGTTAACGTAGAAAGCCTAGGCGTACATGGAAAGAAATGTTAAAAAGAAACAGGGCAGTACAGTATGGACTGCGAATTTGTGCGATTCGGGAAGCGTTCCTCTGGCAGACACTTGTGCAAACGGGGTCGGGATAATACGAGACGTGGAATTTCTCGACTAGTGGAGCGAATATTATCTTCTAAAGAAGGCTGCTTATTTAAGTTGGTTAATCAGTTTCAGTTATTACTTAGTTAGTTAAGAGAGACGAAGCCGGTAACGGTAGCCGAGCGGTCTAAAGCATGTACTGTTTTACCTCGCTTGGAGACCGGGATCGTGGGTTTGAATCCCACTCAGGGCATGGATGTCTAGTTTGTGTGTGTGCGTTTTTCTGTGCTTATGTACAGGTAGAGGCCTTGCGACGAGCTGATCACCCGCCCAAGGAGTCCTACCGAATGTGTAAGATCTAGAAAAACCGAAGTGAACGGAGAAGTTCATGGAGGTAGGCCTAGGCCCACTGGGGCTGTAGTGCCAAGGGTGGGGGGAAAGAGAGACGAAATAACAGAAAACAGAGAAAATTACATAATGTGGACCTTCATAATTTCTATTCTTCACCTTCTACCCTTGTAGTAACTGACCAAAGAAAAACGAGGAGGGCAAGACATACATGAAATGGGAATAAATGCAGAAATCTTGTTGAAAATTTTAAAAGGAGGATAAACTTATGGTACCTAAACTCAGAAGGGAGGATAATATTAAAATGGAGGAATAGGGTGTGAAGGCGTGAACTAAATTCATCTGACTCCGAGATAGGGTGAAATGGCTGTGTTCGGTGAACACCGGTAATGGATCTTTTAGTTTCATAAAAAAAGTTTCTTGAAGAAATATTTAATATTATCTTCTCTAGAAAGTTCCTATACTAGATCTTGGTCTTTAACTGTACCTGTCTCACATCCCGAAAATACTTTAGGTCACGTTTTCCAGCTTGTATCTGTTGCACTTAGTTACACTACGTCCTATGAAGTAACTGACACATTAAAATGACCGTCGTATCAGTCGAAAGGCTTCTTAGCACGTTAAGTGAAAATATTTATTTTATTTAGTTATGCTCAGTTTAGCTCAGTTTAGTTAGGTCAGACCAACATATGGCATGGAATTGTGGGATGATTACAGAACAGTGAACTGGGAAGCATGTGGAAGAAAGCGGTCATGACCAGGCATTTGCCTGGAGGGTCTGAGAAAAACCTGAAGAATGTCAGTCAGGAAAGCCAGTCTCCGAGACGATAATTTAACCTTGGATCTAACGAATACGAAGCAGAAATGCAACCTGTGCCCACTTGACCGCGACGGTCGGTGAAATAACAGCAATAAAGCAGGAAGTGTTCGTCACAAAGTAGGAAAAGACTGAATAAGTCGCGAAAGAATCAGTCAGCAATTTGCGCTCCGAGCCAGATTAGAATCTGGCAGCCTTCAAATGCAAGTCAGTTCGTGTGAAGCAATTACAGAATTACTGCACGAATTGTGTACCAACAGAAGAGACTGCTTATAGAGAGACTCACTCTTTGCATGTCTGTTAAACCAATGTTAAACACAAATTAAACTAAGATCAGGCAGGGACACATATAACGCTAGGGAAAATCCTTCTCAAATTTGGAGGGTATAAGGTACGCCTTTGGAAATATTACACTATTCATTGCGGTGAGACAGTTCTTGATCTATATATATCCGCTTCCCAATACGCCTTAATGGCGTAGTACTTAATTATGTAAGTGCAAGGAAAATTTATCTTTTTACAAGAATTCTTACCCGCCTCTTTTTTCTTATCCAGGTTCTCAAAAATAAATATTTTAGGGCAAATGAATTTCATGACAGTTAACAACTTTCACGATGCAAGAAATCTCACGCATGGCGGGTAAGTACACTCATTTGAGAGAAAACGTTCTACCAGGGTGTTCTTTCACAATGTGCATCGCTACGTATTATTATTTTGTCTTGGTAAGTGAACGGATGTTGTTGTAATGTAATTGGATAATTATTGGTTCTGTGGGATCGCAAGGGTGCTTAACAAGTAAAGATCTAGAAGCACTTTCACCGAATACACTCGACTGCAAAAGTAGTACGGAAAAAATTGTATTAATCTTTATGTGTTGGTAACACCGATAGATCAGTCTTGTAGTCTAGGTCAGGTAAAAGGTAAATAATTAATTAAGCAATGTGGTGAGTCGGGTTGTAGCTTCACCGTTCTTCACCTCGTCACTAGATGAAGGTGAGTGGTCAGCTTCTCACCTCGGCCGCTTTACCCATTAGCTAGAAAGTTGGGTGGGCCCCACAGCTGCGAAGTAGAGAAAAACTTCTTGCCCCTACTGGGAATCGAACATCGACCGTCCAGCCCACAGTCGGTCGCTATACTGGCTAAGCTATCCTGACTCCAGTGAAAACCAAATTTTAGCAGTTTAAACCTGCCCAGTCTTAAAGTAAAATACCAGGATTAATATCTCAGTTGAAATAATCCCTTTTACGGTGTTAGGCAAACATACTCGTATTAAGAAGAATTTTTACCTTTAATGCAAGGGGACTAGATTAAAGACCGTGCCTCGTTTGTGACAGAAAACGCAAAGGTTTTTATTTTCGCTCAGTGTTCTGAGCGACTCTGAGGCATACCCTGCTTTCTGTCTAGTCGGTATGGAGATACTTTTCCTAGAGATAAACGGCCGTAGCGTCATGCTCATCACCCCCTCCCCCGTCATAGCACTACAGAGCTCTAGAACGAATAGATTTTTGCCCCATGTTTTTTATCCGCCGCGATGGTTTGCTGTGTGTTTATTTACCTGTCACAGATACTAGTGACACGACGGCCCTGCGAACTCTTGACGTGTGAAATAAACCAGCGCCACGGGATGTAAAGTCCGGAAGTGTTGTGCAGTGACAGATCAAGAAAATATGAACCATTAAGTGAGGTTTACTTTTGTAAAGGTAAAAGGTTGAGTTATCCCTGTGATTAACTAATTAAGCATCCAACATGAAGAAGCATGAGGGAGTGGATGTACAGACCGACATTTTCTTGACCTCGGTACTGGTTGGAGGTGAGTTGTCAGACTTACGCTCCGGCTGCTTTACCCCCTGGGAAAGAGTCCCCGATGCTCAATGGTTGGGAAAAGAAAAATCAACGCGACAGCAGGGTGAAATATATTGTATTTTTAGTATAAGACTTTATGGAGATATATCATTTAAACCGATCTATGAAGTTTTGTACGAAGACTGGTCTGAAGCATGCTCAAAAATTGCGTACGAAACTAGAGGCTCCGCTTTTGATACTTGTTACCTAGTCATAACACACAGCGTTGAAGAAATTTCAAACAAAACATTGGATCTGAGGTTCTCACGGCAATGACTTACTTACTTACTTACTTACTTGCTCATGGAGCTGAGCCCTTCTTGAGGAGCCGCCAATTCTGTAGCTACTCTAGAATTTCCCAGCATTTTATGGAACCCGAAGGTTCATCACCGTGTTCACAACAGCCCTCCACTGGTCCCTATCCTGAGCCAGATTTATCCAGTCCATCCCATCCCATCCTATTTCTCTAAGAGCCATTCTAATATTGTCCACCCACCTACGCCTTGGTCTTCCCTGTGGTCTCTTTCCTTCTGGCTTTCCCACCAATATCCTATACGNTCAGAGACCAAGTTTCACACCCATACAGAACCACAGGCAAAATTATAGTTTTGTATATTCTAATTTTTATGTTTTTGGACAGCAAACGAGAAGACAAAAGGTTCTGGACTGAATGGTAGCAAGCATTGCCCGAGTTCAATCGCCTCTTAATTTCCTCCTGAATCAGGTTTCGATCTGTTATCGTTGTTCCTAAATATCTGAACTGTACCAAAATTTCAAAACATCTGTTTCCTATCTTTATATCATGATTTTGCCCTGCATTTTGGTGATGAGACAGCAACATATACTTAGTTTTCTCTGTGATTACTTCTAGACCAACCTCTTTACTTGCATCAATTAAAGTTTGTGTGTTTTTCTTTATGGTATCTACATTATCACCCAGTAGATTCACATCATCGGCGTAGACCAACAGCTGATGTGTCCCGTTTAATTTCAGTCCCACTTGGTTTCCCTGGACCTTCCTAATTGCATATTCTAAGGAAAAGATGAAAAGGAGTGGGGATAAAGCATCTCCTTGTTTTAGACCATTCTGGATAGGAAATTTATCAGACAAATGTTTACCTACACGGACTTTACTATACGCTTCGTTTAAACGCATTTTAATCAACCTAACTAGTTTCATGGGTATCCCAAACTCTATCAGAATATTGTACAATACTTCCCTCCTAACTGAAACGTAGGCTTTCTTGAAGTCTATGAATAGCTGATGTACTGTCTCATTGTACTCCCATTTTTTCTCCAATATCTGATGAATGCAAAAGATCTGATCTGTAGTTGATCTGTTACGTCGAAACCCACACTGATGATCCCAAATAATTTCATCTATATATGGACTTAACCTTGAAAGAAGAATATTGGACAAAATTTTATATGAAGTTGATAGCAGTGGTATCCCCCCATAATTACTACA